GTATGTATGTATGTATGTATTTAGTGTCACAACCCCTGGTATGCCCAAATATGGGAGGAACACTAGGGTTGTGACACTAAATACATACATACATACATATGCACATACACACACACACACAATATTTATATCTCTATGTACCTATCTACACACCCATACAGACATATATACACACACACAAAATATATACATACATACGTATATACACACAAATACACACAATACACACACACACCGAAGCATCACACTAATCTTCGAATCCCTGTTAACCATTTTTTCCAGCTAGTCCTCAGCTTATGGCTGCTTAACGGCTACTCAAAGGCGTGACCTGCCTGCAAAGAGGGGGTGGGGTTATATCCTGATTCCGATGGTCATCCTGCACCTGGGCTCAGGTGACTGGACTTCAAATGCTCAACAACACATCCCCCGTTTGCAGCCGTGGGCAGCATCCTGCAATCACCTACCCCATGGGGCTTATGACGGTTTGGCCCGAAAACTGGACATTGCTTTCAAAATCTGTGTGGTTGTTTTTTTTAAAGATAGAGAGGGCAAGCGCCCCCCCCCCCTTGATGGTGGGCGACATCAACCCAAGCCAAGGACACTCACCGGAGGACGAAAACCACGAGACGAAATCTTCCAGCTTGCCGGAGGGACGTCTCTTGCGTTTGGCGCGAGACCAATCTTCCAGGCCGCGGGGCACAGTGAAGGGTCTTCCTGGAGAGGGAAAAACGTGGGTGGGACCCCCTTTTGCTCCATCCAGGCCGAGGCAGGTTAGCCCACCTCCCTTAAGGGCAGAGGCTGCAGGAAGGATTCCTCCTGAGGTCAAGTCTGCCCCGGTCTGGTTCCATCAGCTCAAGTTCTCAAGAAGCTCGTGAGACTCACGCAGGGCTGGAAACCCCCCACCCATCCCGTTAGAACCCAACCTGCCCCGATGCGTTGGACTAGAACTCCCATAACTTTCATTTGGCAGGGGAGCCGTGGTCCACACGCCGGGTGTTGTCCACAGAACGTGGTCAAAGAATCAAGATGGAGCCAACACAACTTGACTTTCTGATCGCTCCCGGAGGAGAACCCTGGTCTGCTCTCCCAAGAGAAGCTTCAAGGGCTGAAGGTGCTGGGTTCAAGTCCCTCCCCGCCCCAATGGGCCTGGGAGATCCGCACCTTTCTTGAAGGGTTTGTCTTCGGAGGAGCTGAAGGGGTCGAGGCTGCGCCAGGGGTCCCACGTGTCCTGGAAGAGAAAGGAAGCAGCTGATGGGCTTTGCATCCAGACGGTGAAGGTTCCCAGGGGGTGTCAGAACTGGGCCTTGGCACCCCAAAAGACCCCCACCCAGCTAGTCTAGTGAAGGGAAGGACCAGGGGGAGGTGACATGATAGCAATCTTCCAGCATTTGAAGGGGGGGGGGGTTCAGCCTATTCTCCAAAGCACCTGAAGGCAGGACAAGAAACTCATCAAGATGAAATATGAACTCCTAAATATTTGACCTTTTTAACTATTTCACATCCTCTCATTCCTTCTAGTTCTTCCTTTTGTTTAGTATTCATATTTGTAGCTAATATTTTTTGTTTCCCCTAGATTTATTTTAAATCCTGACACTTGAGGTTGTATGGAAAGCAGAAGAGCTAATAATGGGTTTTTAATCTTTTTGGGCATGGTTGACAAGAGGAACTGATGTAATTGCTACTTAATACAATAGGATTCTGGCTACGTAATAGTATACATGTGATTGTATGTTATGAAAATGGAAAATAAAAAAAAGTATTAGCTACAAATATGAATACTAAACAAAAGGAAGAACTAGAAGGAATGACAGGATGTGAAATAGTTTAAAAGGTCAAATATTTAGGAGTTCATATTTCAACCTCAAATGGGAAGCTATACAAGTATAATTATGAACCACTTTGGCATAGTAT